TGTTATCATATGAAGATGATTTTTGAACACTAGAAACTAGACACCAAGAAATATAAAAGTGTATTCCACGAAATATTTGAGAATCGACCACTAAGTAGGTCAAAATGGCATAAGAAGACTAGGCTAGAAGCTAGCACAGTTTGGACACCAGTCACCATCTGGATGATAGAACACCATTCTGACAATCTTCAGAAATAGTATTTTGAGGTTCTGACAGGGAGGAGATATTGGTAGTAATCACTGTCCGGACACCAATACTGTCATTTGGACACTACGATGAAAATAGGTAGCAATTAGATTTTATGGTTGGTTGTTTTCACCTTATAAATACCCTCAGGTTGCGATCTGATGCCTTTTAAATTGCTTTCCACTCCCAACAACTATTTTTTAGGCATTGTAGAATTTGACTTGAGGTATACACTTAGGGCAGTGGATGTGTTACATTTTCCTATGTAAATATATAGGGTGGGGCTATTCCCACCCCACAAATATCCATTCACACCCCATTAAATTTTTTATTTTCAAACAACTAAGTCCACCTCTTCTATATGCACCCCCATTTTAAATAAAACCACTCCATGCTATATACACCCCTTCAATAACAAGTCCACCTTTTATCTTCTCATAACTAGAGTTTCATTTACTATCTCCTCTCATACGCTCTACACAAAAGGACTTTTTCAATATGGATTGATAAGTAAGATGACTACATTACTTATGTATCCGTGCATTATCCAAGCCTATTCTAGCTTTTGTCAAAACAACCTCCATTAGATTAACATGAGGAGGATTAGTTTGTGTTGCTATAGTGTGGGCAACAATATTTAACTTCTCTTTGAAAGGACACATTGGATCAAACAAATTTGTTGAGTATACCTACGAAAATAATTTATATGTGCAGATACAGTTATAAGTAATCAACAAATTTACAATGCTTCATTTTTTCTTTTTGTTGCAAAATTTTGTGAATAAATACATATACACACACACACACACATATAAACCCTAAATAATAAACTGAGAAGTAATACTAACATATATCTCACTAGAAAAATCCATATTGAATAAACTCTTTCGTGTGGGGTGTATGAGAGAAAATAGTTAATGAAACCCTAATTTTAAGAAGATAGAAGGTGGACTTGTTATTAAAGGGGTGTGTATAGCATGGGGTGAACTTAGTTAAAATGGGATGGGTATAGAAGGGCTGGACTTAGTAGTTTGATTATAAAAATTTATTGGAGTGGGAATAGATATTTGTGGGGTGAGAGTATCCCCACCCAAATATATATATATAAGGCCTATGGTTAAACACATGTTTTAGAATATTCTTTTACTTTTGTGGTCAATTTGTTTTTCGTTATCCTTGCAATGTTGTTCACTGGATCATAATACTAATTGGTTGGAATTAGAAACTAAATGGTGCCTTTACTTAGTGAACAATGCTAGCATCTTTGATCAAGTTTGAACTTAGTCAACATCGTGTCTAGAACTTTTCAACAGTCCATACATGTTGGGTTTGACTCATAGCTTTGGATTTCAGTTTAGAAGAAGATGTCATTTGTTTGAAGAGAAATAAAGAAAAAAAAATTTGAGTGGCAAAAGCTGAAGCAACTACTAGATTGGGAGAGTCAAAGATGAAAAGGAAAGGTAGTTGTAACTAGTCTAACCCTAGAGATAAGATTTCATAACATTGAAACTTGACTTTCACCTCTGCCCAACATGAAGCTTTATCAAAGTGGTCAAGAAACCCTCCTTTAAGTCGAAGTCACTTTTCAGAGAAAAAAGAAACATGTAACAGAGGGCTACCTTCANTTTTTCTCCCCCTAAAACGTTTGAATCTACGAAATGCTATTCCGAGCAAAGTTGTAAATCCTAGAGCCTTCTTCCGCTACAATAAGAATTAGATCAATCGAATATTCGAGTAGAATGTTATGGTTAAATTACTAAGGATATGTCAATTTTTCCTAATTGACTGAATCTATGCACTACCTCCAACTTGTAGGCCATTTTTAACCCGAAAACATCTGCATTGGAAAATGCCTATTAGAGGCCAAATTGTAAAGCATCAAGACTTTTTTCCAAAACATCAAGAATCAGTTCAATTAGATAGAAAGTTATTATCAAAATACCACGACTATGCCTAATTGATTGCTTAGCATGTTTCTTCCACTCTTTTGTCTTGGTCCTTTCACTCTTCATATAAAGCAATGCATTTGTGTTTCTAACTTGAACAAGCACCCTAGAGATGTGACCTTATACTTTTATCGTTCTTCACTTATCAAGATGAAATCAATCGTTCTTCACTCAAGATGAAATCAACAAAGTTGTTGCATTAGTTTTCTCATGCACATTGTCTTCAATTCTTCACATCTTCGATCATCTAATTTAGCATGTTACCCATGTACATCTTTTTCGATTCTTTGAAGCTTGTGTAACACATTACACATTTAATCTCTCGCATCAAACCTAGGCAACACACTTACAACCTAAGTCACACAAAGATGATTAGTAACATAAAAGTGCTTGGCATCATCAAAACCTTGTTTAACCAAACATAAAATCAACGTAGTCTTTTCCTCCTCAGCTCGACATAATTCTAATTTTCACTCTAATTTTCCATGAAATAGTATGAAACTCAAACCAATATTTTTGAGGTGGAATGTGAGAAAATGCACAGCTTAGGAGACAATGTGAAATAAGGAGTATATTTTAAGGAGTCTGTGTAATTTGCTCTATTTTCAATGACGAATAGAAGATATAAGCACCTCCTCTCTTTTTAAAATTCCAATGGGGTCAAACAGAAACATCGTGTGAGTATTTAAAAACATTATATATATATATATGTGTGTGTGTGTGTATCTATATAATAAAGTCACTTACAATTCAAATCTTAAAAGATAAACAAAATGACTTTTATTATTCGCGATTGAGATCCCTTTAAATTTTATTTTAAAATTAATCTAACAACTAATATAAACACTAAATTTAATAGAAAAAATAGGTTCTTAAAAGTATGTTTGAAATGACTTTTTAAAAGTACTTTTAAAAATTATTTTTCNTCCTTTAAATTTTATTTTAAAGTTAATCTAACAACTAATATAAACACTCTAAATTTAATAGAAAAAATAAGTTCTTAAAAGTATGTTTGAAATGACTTTTTAAAAGTACTTTTAAAAATTATTTTTCATAAATACTTTAAAAAAAATAGTGTTTGAAACCACCTCCACCACTACCTTTACCACCACCACCACTACCACCACCATCGTCGTCGCCACTACTCCCACCACTGTCACTGTCTTTGTCAGTGTCCCCACCACGCCGATCGCCGCCGCCGCCACCTCCCTCACCGCCCCCGCTCCCGCCATCGTCGACGCCGCTGCCACTGCTGCCACCACNCACCTCCACCACTACCTTTACCACCACCACCACCACCATCGTCGTCGCCACTACCCCCACCACTGTCACTGTCGTTGTCAGTGTCCCCACCACGCCGATCGCCGCCGCCGCCACCTCCCTCACCGCCCCCGCTCCCGCCATCGTCGACGCCGCTGCCACTGCTGCCACCACCACCACAGTCATTGACACTCACCACAACCACCACCGTCATCTACTACCACCACTGCCACACACCATCCCTCACCCCCACTACAAATCGATACTTAAATTTCTTTATCTCTTCTCTATGTTTACGATTTGATTTTAAATATGAATACAAATATGTTTATTGTTTACTATTTTTTATTACTTTGTTCATTCAAGTACAGGTAATAATTAGTATATATATATATATATATATATATATATGACATTAAAGTGTGTCAGTGGAACCCGCTCACAAGGTGGAACCAGTGAAGAAAGATTAAAATGGGAGAGAAAAACAATATTGGCAAATAAATTGAATAAAAACAGAAGGAAAATTAAACACGGCATGTATATGGATAAACTATGCAAGTTTAAGAGACGTGTAGAGAATTACCTTTGGTCGCAACCTAAATAGCTACAAGAGATTCTTAAGTTTGATTGTAGTACTAGTTGTTAGTGAAGAAAGAATANCTTCAAGTACAGGTAATAATTAGTATATATATATATATATATATGACATTAAAGTGTGTCAGTGGAACCCACTCACAAGGTGGAACCAGTGAAGAAAGATTAAAATGCGAGAGAAAAACAATATTGGCAAATAAATTGAATAAAAACGGAAAGAAAATTAAACACGGCATGTATATGGATAAACTATACAAGTTTAAGAGACGTGTAGAGAATTACCTTTGGTCGCAACCTAAAAAGCTACAAGAGATTCTTAAGTTTGATTGTAGTACTAGTTGTTAGTGAAGAAAGAATATCGAAAAAGTTTAAGAGACGTAGTTCTCCTAAGGTTTAGGTTTTGTCATGTACTTCAGATGGACCAGCTTAGCTCATTGTGTAAAACAATAAACTGGTTTCCTTTATTTTATTGGGAACCCCTACAATTTTTCAATATGGCATGGTGACATTGAGACCCCAATAACAGATAATGTCAATAAAAACAACTTTTTAATCCTCCAATTTTACTGGTCAAAATCAAATAAATAAAAGTTAACCTAAGCCTATATGCAGATCCACGCCTATACCCATACCCAACCCAACCCAACCCAACCCATATCCATACACACAATAAACATTGCTCCATTTTTTGCATAAATCTCTCTCTCTCTCTCCAAACTCCCTTTATCGTCAACGCCCTGCCCTTACCTCCACAGCCCATCTCACCTACCATCCCAGCATACGTACCTCCACAGCCCATCTCACCTACCACCCCAGCATAGCCTTTGCCCCCATCCCCACGCCGCAGTCCCCCCTCTCACCTCCACAACCAAAATGACAATAGATCGGTCACTAATGAAGTTGTCACTTGATTATCAATCATCATATACCGAAATAGGGGAATGATATTAATGTTATTTTTCAGTTGGGAAGGGGGGGGGGGGTAAGAATCTATAATTACATGAAACATATGATCAGTCCTCTGTTTTCCATCTTTCTATCACAAACTTGGACTGCTCATCCCTTCTCCTGACCTTCAAAACAACGAGGTATTAGTCTTTACCAATGTTAGAGACCTGAAACAATAAAACAATTAAACGATTCAACAAAAGGTTGACGTCACCTACAATAGCTTTTTGTTTCCTTTGAGTATTATTTTGCTCTCTCTTGCTCCTCTTATAATCGTATATAATTAAGTAAAAGCATCAATATTAGATTAGGAATCATTAAAGAATTAAGAAAATCATTAAGATGATATTGAATTTAAAACACTAAAAAAATTAAGCAAATAAAATTGATGAATTTTGTAACAGAAAAATAGGTAATTAAAACTATTATACACTTTTCGAAACACTATATTTTGTATGTTTTAGTAAATCAGTACGTTTAAGTTAATTGCATAAATATTATTCTCGTTATAAAGGGAAAAAGTGGAATTCAAATCGATTGTGTACTTGTTTGAGATTATTTTCTACAAAGTAAGACTAACTGGTCATGAAGATGGTTAAAATGTTCAACAAACCAACTTTTATGGAAGCATCTACTGTTTTGATAAAGTATAATTTATACGTCCAAGGAAATATTATCTTATTTAATAATCCTACTCAAGAAACAATCAGATATTAGTATCCTCTAAATTTGGAACAACTTCACTCTCAATCTCCCAATTGCAAATAACCACAAAAGCGCACAAGTGAATGTGAAATAAAATCACATTAGAGAGGATTGACATATTTTAGTAAAGCACAAAAGAGCAAGATGAATAGAGAGCTCAGGACAAGGACAGAAATATGCTTTCTTGTTCATAATAATAGATTAGCAAGACAAAACGGAGCAACCTAAAAGGTGTCCTTGATGTGCACACTACTCCAACATTGCTTTCNTAGTGTCATACCTGATGTGTATCACGTCCTACACCATGTCAAACATGGATACAACTCTTCTTAATATGTGTCCATGCCTCACAACCTCTAAACATGGAGCATTTTCTTATATCTTTTTCCTTTGGAACCTATCCACATGTCTTGACCGGGTTGGTCATTTCTCACATCACTTTTCATGATTCCAATTGGCATACATTTATAATACATAGAAGTTTTTGCCCTTCTCTATTCACAGTAAAGTCCTTTCGCCACCAAATGAAGGTAAAAGGAATTTGTTGCCCTATTCTATTCACATTCTCTAAGCGAGTTTGTATCCCACATTAAATGATTAGAATCACCAACGTTGATGAATATGCTTAAGGGGCCTCTCCACTCCTTGCCAAATGGTTTTGAGTTGAGGGCTCTAACATGGTATTAGAGTTGGGTCTTGGGTGGTCAGTGAGTCAAGTCTTTTACCCATTTAAACTTCTCGGTATGCATGTTTGTGTATCTGTTTGTTATCCCCATGTGCAAACTCACGTCCCACCTGAGGGAGGGTGTAAAGGGCCTGTATCCCACATCGAATAATGATTAGGTTGGTTTATATGCTTAAAGGGACTTTTCATTCATTACCAATTAGTTTTGAGTAGGATGCTCTTAACACATTCACAAACACTTTCATCACCGAAACAAGGGAAAATCCACAACATAATAAACAAAATTACCTCAACCAATGGCTTTTTCCCACAAAGAAACAAATCCACACTCCTTTCTGTCTGCAAAAAGAAAGAAAACAAGGAAGCATGAACAGGACAACGTAAGTTACGTTGCATATAAATAGCTTTTCTTTTTCCATATGAAGCACGGATACTGTCGAGAAGGTGACGTATCCGTGTCGAACACCAACACTCTCGAATACGTGTCCAATACTCTTTTATCTATGTCCATAATTAAATAAAAAAATTTTAATTTCGGATACGTGTCTACTACTAAACACTAAATATGTGTTGAAATGTGATTAGCAAAGTTTAAAATTGATGATTATTGACTATTATGATGATGCTTTAATCTAAAAATTCACGCGAATGACTACACATAAGATTTACTTATCATAAAATGCTGAATCTTGGATGAATTACATATCATTCTCACTATATTTGTGTTAAATTATATAATGTTATATATAAAATATAATTTTTTGTAGTATTCCCAACATATCATGTCTTACTTTTTTTAGAAATGTTGTGTCTGTATTCGTGCTTCTTAGCTTTTTCCTAAAAAAGATTCTCATTTATCTTCAAAACTTAGTAGGAAAACTACAGCTTCCCGAGACAATCATCTATAACCCCAACATATGTAAGAACAAGGTACACGTCCCTATCTAAGTAAATGATCCAAATAGACCCATGGCTTGTGACCAAATAACTTTGTAAAGCAGGTAGTTGCAAAGCTAGCTCAAATTCTTTCCAATTGATACCTGCAGTAAAGTATCTTCTAGAAAAACATATTTGGTGTTTTTTTTTCTCTTCTTTATTTCTTTCTCTTTTTTCTGTATGCCCCCCACCCCCTCGCTCTCTTTCCATCTTGCATTTGGGGTGAGGTGGAGAGGAAGGCATTTTGGACAAAATATTAAAGGAAGCAAACGAATTAGGAAGGAAAAAATTAAAAACAATTCTTTTGCTATTGTTAGCATTATTAGAATCTCCTACTCTCTTTGCTCTTCACTAAGCAAGTTTATAAATATTTTTATGTCCAGTTTTTATACCTGGTTTCTAAGAAAGGACAGCATGTCCTTAATGCTTTAATGCTTTAGACTTGGCATCTCTGATTGCTTCCTTTTTTGGGAATATTTCTATCTTTCCAAATTATCCTCATTTCTAGCCTCTTACTTTTGTCTGCGCTCAAGTTTGCCATAATGGAATGGTGCAACACTATGCAATGCAAAAATACAACTGAATAAACATTTAACACAAACTCCAATTTGTGTTATTGAATAGCAGAACCACTATCCCCAGATTAGTCCCAAATATATAAAAGGGGATAGTTTCTTTCATTTTCTAAGAAAAATATTATATTTTTAGTTCTTATAATCCAAATTTCCTTTTAAAGGAATTCCACTCAACAAACTGCCAAATTGACCAACTTACCCAATGCGTAACCCAGTAGTGCGTCTCCCTCATTTCAATCAAAAAAGGAAATGTTGGAGGAGCTTTCCTCTCAAAAATGCTTTTCTTAGAATTTCTAGTTCGGGCTTCCTGATCACCTAAAGTGACAGTTTCTACTCCTCCAATCTGTACATTTGACAACAAAATTCATCAGAGGATATCACCCATTTCATTCAAGATAGCGCACAATTACAGAAATTAGTATCTTGCTTCAATATTTCACTTTGCCAACTCCATGATGTTAGAATTGATCAAAAAGACAAGAAAAGAGAAAGAAGATAAGAGAAAGAGAAAAAATATTAATAGACTAAAACAAATCTATAATCCTCATTAACTTGGAAGTACACAAAGTGAGCCTTATATAATAGGGCAACATAACATAAAGTAAATGCCTAAAGTACCCATACTATTAATAATTTAACACCCCCTCTCAAACTCGTGATTATCAAAGAAAACTAGGGTTTTCTTTAACTAAGATAGGCAATCTTCTAAAAGGATATGTTTTTTCTTTTATTTAAATTCTATTGTATATATTTAGATAAGATAAAGTCGAGCAGTTTAGTTAGATTCAAATTCAAGTAGTTTAGTTAGATTCAAATTCAATTTTGTAACTCTAGAACAATGGTATTTTATTTAAATGAGAAACAGATACCTCGAGGGGGTACTTCGGCCAATTATGATCAATACTTGACATGGTATTAGAGCAGGTTCCTAATTNCTCTCTTTGCTCTTCACTAAGCAAGTTTATAAATATTTTTATGTCCAGTTTTTATACCTGGTTTCTAAGAAAGGACAGCATGTCCTTAATGCTTTAATGCTTTAGACTTGGCATCTCTGATTGCTTCCTTTTTTGGGAATATTTGTATCTTTCCAAATTATCCTCATTTCTAGCCTCTTACTTTTGTCTGCGCTCAAGTTTGCCATAATGGAATGGTGCAACACTATGCAATGCAAAAATACAACTGAATAAACATTTAACACAAACTCCAATTTGTGTTATTGAATNTAATGGAATGGTGCAACACTATGCAATGCAAAAATACAACTGAATAAACATTTAACACAAACTCCAATTTGTGTTATTGAATAGCAGAACCACTATCCCCAGATTAGTCCCAAATATATAAAAGGGGATAGTTTCTTTCATTTTCTAAGAAAAATATTATATTTTTAGTTCTTATAATCCAAATTTCCTTTTAAAGGAATTCCACTCAACAAACTGCCAAATTGACCAACTTACCCAATGCGTAACCCAGTAGTGCGTCTCCCTCATTTCAATCAAAAAAGGAAATGTTGGAGGAGCTTTCCTCTCAAAAATGCTTTTCTTAGAATTTCTAGTTCGGGCTTCCTGATCACCTAAAGTGACAGTTTCTACTCCTCCAATCTGTACATTTGACAGCAAAATTCATCAGAGGATATCACCCATTTCATTCAAGATAGTGCACAATTACAGAAATTAGTATCTTGCTTCAATATTTCACTTTGCCAACTCCATGATGTTAGAATTGATCAAAAAGACAAGAAAAGAGAAAGAAGATAAGAGAAAGAGAAAAAATATTAATAGACTAAAACAAATCTATAATCCTCATTAACTTGGAAGTACACAAAGTGAGCCTTATATAATAGGGCAACATAACATAAAGTAAATGCCTAAAGTACCCATACTATTAATAATTTAACACCCCCTCTCAAACTCGTGATTATCAAAGAAAACTAGGGTTTTCTTTAACTAAGATAGGCA